CCCCCAAAACTTTGTCTTCAAAATAAGGGTCCGTCTTATATTCCGAAAAATACAGTATTCCTTTTAAACCTAGTTTTTTTTATTATATACTAATGGTACTACTGCACTAAAATATTTATTTAATTAAATAATGCTCGAAAGAACATTATTTATCGATCCACTTTTAGAGGGACTTGTTATTTCACCCCCACCTCCCACAAACATTTGCCAGAGATACTAGAATGGTCAAAACCTTCTGATCTTTTCCAAGGTCTGTGAGTACTTTGGGGCTTCAAAACTCAATACAATACGTTTGGCTCAATGCAACTTAGCATGCTAAAATTTAGGGAGTGGGGGGGGGGGGAATAACAAGTCTATTTAAAATTACTCGTGAGTATAAGATGTCTTGTCCCTCCCCCCCAAATATATATATACGTTTTGGTGCTGGAGCCGCTAATGGTGGGGCCTAAGAATGGATATTTTAAGTTAACAAAATGTTTCGTGAATTTCGTAGCGCATTTCATCCCTTTAATTTAAATGTATACGTTTTCAACCGACGACCTATTGTGAGGTATCAGAATATAAAGGGCAGGTCAGGTTACTACATATCAGTTGTCGATAGACGTCACACATGTAATGATAATGATGATGGGAATTAAGTTATAAAATACAGCTTAATTTTAAAAAAGGTTCGCGAATTACTTGTAGGTTCGTTTTTTGTATTGGGAGGGTCGCTATGGCCCACCAAAATTTTCACTTTATTCTGATAATGTAATTAGTAATTTGGTAAAGTTGTTTATCAAACTAAATCGACTGATCGCAGGAAAAAGAAAAAAAGAAGTTGAGCATTCCTAAAGAATTTGGAAAGATAGAAACTGAGATTATGGGATTTAGAAAACAAATCATGTCAATTTTGGAAAGACAAATGTATTACTATAAGTGTTATCTTTTTGTGGCCAAAATTTAGCTTACAATAAAAAACTGAAATCAGATATGTTTATTTTAAAGGTGGCCTAAAAAAGAATGTTTGAAATTTCCTCTTACGTAAAAATTTCCATTTTTCAATTATTTCATTTTGTTTTTACTACTGTTTTAGCACAAAGCTGTTCATTGGGCCATCTTTGCTGTGTCCATTGCAGAGATCGAGTTTCGAATTCTAGTGTTATAAGACCAAGTATACAGCTGAGCCACCTGGAGACATTACCACCGCATAGTTTCTCTATGTTACTTAAGAAAGATGATAATTTGGGTGGTTGGACTCTGGGTGGTTGAACTTTCGCATTCAAAGCATTATTAAAGGTTTTAATAACGATAATTCAACCGCACCCTGCCTTCTTGGCGCTCAAAAAGTTTGATAATGCATCAGGAAGAAATTGATTACTTTTCGTGATACCTTAACAAAATGCTCATATGGTCCCTTAGAAACCTACAAATATTTGTGTTTTGGCTACAGATGTAATTCTTCCATTTGGTTAATAAACCACTATTTTACTTTTCATTTATATTAAGTTTTATAGCGTCGCTAGAGCATTTCGTATTTGTTCACCAACTGATTTGAGTAATTCTAGAAGAGCTTTTAATAACAAGATAATCTATGTATGAAGGGCATATCTGAATAATTTTCTTTCAAGCTAATCTTAATTTTCCAAATAAATGTTGCGCAGTTATAAAATACAAAGTTAGAAATTTAAATATTATTATTTTGTATTTATGACAACGCTATTAAGGCTAGCTGCTGCCGTTAATTTTGAACATTTGACAAGAGAGAAGGCAGCCAGTCAACAGCGCTCTATCACTTATTATCCATGCTGATGGATTGACTGTCACTCTGATAACGCATACAAGCGCGGGCAAAATTCTGTGGTGTCACACGGATTCAATCAAATCAAGCTCATTAGCTCTGAAATACAGCAGGGGCTTTATCACTCGGCCAATCGACGCTCAAGTTTAAATCAAATTTTTCAGTTCGTTTTCTATTACTGAATGGTATTTAGATAATTTTTACTTCATTGCAGGCTGGAAAAATGTGACTAAATTAAAATATGAATATTCTCGCAAGCAAATTTTAAGAGAGTAATTTCTGCACGTTGTGTGTGGTAATTGCATCTACTTTGTGGCTTAATGCCAATTGTACAAAACACTATTCTTCTATATACAATTAAACGAACTGAGACAGAAAGAGAGAAACATATCAGACTCACATGGTTTGTCATTGTAGCCAGTCTCCAGGGCGTGAAAATAATTAAGAAACTCGGGTAATGGGATTCGGAAGGCTTCGAATAAACCAACTTCTAGGAAAACTTTATAGCACATCTGCAGGATGAACAAATATGGGAACTAGGTTAACTAAAGTTACTAGTCGAAGTAAATGAAATCCCTATACTGAAAATTATTTCTATTGAAAGGATGTTGTATAGAAAATACTGGTTGATCAATTTGAAGGAATTACATTAAAATTTTCATTAAAACATCGCAGAATTTAAGGTACTTGTCTAGTTAAAAAGGAAATTACTTGAAATACATTTGGAGATAAGAGATTCCAAACAAATACAGTAATGCAAATTCTACATCACCAGGCAATAAAATAAAATATTTTCAAAAGGAGTTATATTTTAGGATGGTAAAAATAAACTCGTTTAAAAAGTAGTACACTTATCAGTATGTTTCAGGCTATATTATATGATAAAACCCTATCTCCCCCTTTTAGTACCGCCTGGTATCCCTCCTATAACAATTCTTGAACAATTACTACTCTATATCCTAACTGATGTACTATTTTGTTTTCCTAAGTTCGAGAAAAGTTCTCATGCGAGATTTCTGTAACTGATTTTTTTTTCGTATTTAAAATACAAGTCACTTTTCCACGAGGTTATTCTACTAGAGCAAGATTAGCTCAAGTTTGTTTTGCTTGTGGCAAAACTAGTAAAGCTACCTTAAGCCATCCATAGTTTGAACTGACGACTAGAGGAAAGATAATCGACCTGCATCATCTACTGCTAACAGTTGAGCTACTCTTTTACTAACGACTAGTGGAATTGACTGTCACATTACAAGTCTCCCTCAGCTGAAAGGGCGAATATATTTAACGCTGGATTTCGATCGAGCGCTCTAACCACCAGGCCATGCCAAGCCCCATTTGAGTTTGTTTGTTTGTTTGTTTTTTTGAATTTCGCGCAAAGCTACACGAGGGCTATCTGCGCTAGCCGTCCCTAATTTAGTAGTGTAAGACTAGAGGGAAGGCAGCTAGTCATCACCACCCACCGCCAACTCTTGGGCTACTCTTTTACCAACGAATAGTGGGATTGACCGTCACATTATAACGCCCCCACGGCTGAAAGGGCGAGCATGTTTGGTGGTATGCGGATTCGAACCCGCGACCTTCAGATTGTGAGTCGAGCGCCTTATCCACCTGGCCATGCCGGGCCCCCATTTGAGTAAATGCACCCTTTCTTCTTTGGGTGTAATTCAAATTTAGACTACGTAACTAATAAAACACAATATAAATTCTTATCTGATTACAAACTGTGGAAGAGTTTTATTTCATTGAACTCGCATATCATAATGTGACCATAATTCAAATACTCAAGTCACCAAAACTAAACAGTGTGTAATTTTGGTATAACAAACACACACATACAAAAACAAACAAGTTTTTTTAAGTAAATAAAACCTACCTGACTAAGGATACATTTCCCTGCTTTTTGTTGAAGTTCGAAGATTGGATAATCCCACTCGTTTATTCGACTTAGTAACTCATCGGAATGCAAGACATCGAGATCGTACATGAGACTGTCGCAAAGAGTACCACGGAAAGTCACGTCACCAGGAATATCTGGAGACTGAAGAAGAGAAAAGAATAATATCTTGGACTTTTTTATCGGATCGTTAGTCCAAAAGAAAATTCTAGAATAGGAATGATTTCTAAGACTTTAAAAACCAATATTATGAAAGAGAGTTGAAATACAATGAAAGAAAGAAAAGCGGATAATGAACTACAAATTAGTTTATGGATTATGGAAGAGCAGAGAATAAAGAAGGTTACTTGTTGTTCAACTAAATAGATGAAACGGAAAACGCCTGTAAGAGTAATATGCATTTAAAATAACAGTAGCCATATAATAATTGGTATTCTAAACACTTAAATAAATTTAACTAAAGATTTTATATATTTTATGGCATCATTAATTATCTCGCAAATTTCGAATGAAACTAATAACGTGTATCAAAGATGGTGTATTTATAACTATTACAAATAATCTGATCTCGCAAAGAGACGTTGCAGGGCATTATTTGTTGTTGTCGTTTTTTTTTCTTTTTAGCGAAAAGCTAAACAATGGACTATCTGCGTTCTAACCAACGCTTGAAAACGAACCCCGGATTTTAGCGTTGTACATCCGTGAACTTATTGCTTACCCACCAGAGGAGACGTATCACTTGTTGCTGAACTGTTAAACAAAGTATAACTTAATTCAATATTTCAATTATATATATATAATTCCATTTTTTCACGAAAATCTATAAAAGAAAACCATAGGTTGGTTTAGAAGTTTGGATAATGCACTCAATCTGTTAATGTTAAGCATTTATATGTTATATTTACTAGTTCGTTATTAAAACTTCGATAAATCTAAGGCCTAAGGAAGTATGTAACATGTATTTTAATAATATTTTATGCTTATTTGTTTTCAATCTCTACTGACTGCAAATTATAAATATTAAATTATGTGTGGTGTTCTAGTCGCACGATTTTATACGGGTAACGTTTGTAGACTATGGTCTTACCAAGCTGGAAAACAAGTGAAAGTTTATTTCAACTAACCATAATACACACACACACACACACAGATCTATCTATTGGTTTATTGAGAACTGGAGTATTTATGTTTGCTATATACTTCATTCAACATTAGGCAGCTACAATAACTGTATGTAACACAGTGTGAAAGGCGCGTACTTTGGATAAGGTCGTTCTTCTATAAATTAATGACCTGGTGATAATCACATTACTACAGACGTCAAACTTGCGTATTTCTTTGTTGGTTATCATTGTACGAGTCAAACTGCCCGGAGGTTCTACACGCCTAGTACATATATATATTGGACGATAATATCTGAACGTGTAATTCGATTTTAAAGTATTGGAATACAGATTAATCCAATTGCCGTTTTCAGTCCAAATCGAATCGTCATCATGCAGTGGCGGGTCGTCAGAGAAAGCCATGCCTCCTCAAAAATTCTGATAAATAAAACATTTGTTATTTTTTATATATATTAATCTTATTTTGGCCATAAAATTATTGTTACATTCTTGTAACAAATATTCTTGTTCCGCTCTATGACATTCATGGACGTGACATCTCATGACGTGAGTCACAGAACAGTTGTCTCTCTAGACTTTTTTTTATCCGTATAATTAATTAAAAGTGAGTTTGTTAAAAAGTGACACAATTCATCTTGATTTGGAGCTTATTTCGGAGTTTCATAGTTCGAACAATAGTTATGCCTTGCCTGGCATGACAATGATTGGTGGTTACCAATGTATCTTCAGCTATGAACGATCGATGATTCGAACTCGAGTACAAATAAATCGATAAGCCTAAAGTATGTTTTTTTTTTTACTGTTCTATATTTTTGAGGTTGGTGATAAAATATCAGTTTTTTTCCTGATTTTTTTTTTATTAACTGAGAGCTGCAACTGCCATCAAGTGACGAAAAGATGAGCTTAATTACAAGAATTCTGCGAAATACAAACAAACAACAAAACTACCCAAAAGGAAACAGTATTACTCATTTTTAACAGTGTTTGTTTGTTTGTAATTAAGCACAAAGCTGCACAATGGGCTATCTGTGCTCTGCCCACCACGGGTATCGAAACCCAGATTCTAGCGTTATAAGTCCGCAGAAATTCCGCTGTGCCACTGGGGGAGGGCTTTTGACAATGAATGCGTTGTTGTGACAGTTGAATAATCAGTGTCTCAAATGCTACAATTTAAATGTAAGCACGATGTGATCGAGTTTGTCTATAAATATTACGATAGTTCGAATATATTTTAATTTTCAAGTTATCCGAAAATGTCGAAATGTTACACGTTTTATATTCATCATTTATTTATTTTTATTGTAAAAACTGTTGTTTTTACGCTATGCTTGTTGGAATGATACAAGCTGGCTAATACTGAGAACGTTACATCCCACACTTAGTGTTTATAATATATACAATAAATTAATGCAAAAAAAAAAAAGAAAACAATTTCTTCTATTATTTCGTTTGTTTTGAATTGCGCGCAAAGCTACACGAGGGCTATCTGCGCTAGCCGTCACTAATTTAGCAGTGAAAGATTAGAAGGAAGGCAGTTAGTCATCACCACCCACCGCCATCTCTTTTAACAACGAATAGTGGGATTGACCGGCACATTATAACGCACCCACGGCTGAAAGGGCGAGCATGTTTGTTGTGACGGGGATTCGAACCCGCGATCCACAGATTAAGAGTCGAGCGCTCTAACCACCTGGCCATGCCGGGCCTCAATTACTTCGTAACAAATAACAAAAACACGCAGTTTGATATAGTTTCCTCTTCCGTTTAAAAAGGAAAAAAAAAATCAATTGCACCGAGAAATGAGCATTCCAATCAAAATGACATTGAAGGTTAACAATGCAGTGAACGGTATAAAAACAAGTCAGTAATGTGAAGGTCAACAATGTAGTGAACGGTGTAAAAACAACCCGGTAACCTGCGGGTTAACAATACAGTGAACGAATTCCCAATCAAAATGACATTTTCGACCATATTTTGTCAGTCACAAAGTTAGCTTCTATCAAAAAGTTTGTTATTTGTTCAGTTTTACATTTTGTTGATGCTCCGAAATCATAAATAGCAGGATAAAAAAAAACTGGAGTGTAAGCACGCCTACTTAGTATAGATGCTTTGCTCTTAGTGATAACACCCATAAGTCTCGCTTCTGTTCCCCTTGCGTTTCGATTGTTAAACAGTTTCTGTTGTCATGGTAACAACATGACTTAAGGTAAAATGTTTTCCCAAGTTGCTGAAATGCATGTATTTTGCTTTTCATCGAGGAAATCACATCACCTTTGTTATTAATGCTGTAAAAAGTCTCAGTTTAAAACTATCATTTTATGGCATTTACCTAGAATAAACAAAAAAAAATAGAAACGTTTTTAAGTTATAAACTAGCATAATATACCGAGAAATCCCTAATATATCCATGTGCGTAAAACAACATGCATCGTCAATTTGTTTTCTTTGCTTAAAAGAATAATTGTATGAATAATAAATAACACGCACGCGAAGCCTCCAGGTCTCAAATTCTGATAATACAGTGTCTCGAAATTTATATTACGACAAATTTTAACTATTCTTTCAGAGACAGGGTACTCGAGTCTCTACTACAATAACTACTGGAGTTCTATTAGGTCAACAGAGGTAAAATTGCATGAATGCAATATACTGGCAAAACGATGCCGAGATTCAGCACGTTCAGAAGATGAGTAAAGTAGCTGTAAGAAATAGTTAAGCCTATTTTATTTTGCTTAAATTAATCAGTTACTTTATCTAAAAATATAGCATTTGAATTGGACTAACATTAAAATATTACGTGTTAAGAACATCTAAGAAAATTATAAAAAAAAAAATTCCACTCGTAGTACATTGAAAACCAACAATATAAGGAGTGAAACACCTAAAACAGGACGTTTCTGAACATTTTTTGTGGCGACCCATATTATTCCAAATGGCCCATGAATAATAACTTTTTTGACCCGTTTTTTTTTCTTCTTTCGTTTGAACACGTTGCACATATAAGCGACACACAAAACACACACATGCAGTCATTATAATATATTTAATCAAAATATGTGAGCATATAAATCGATCTGCATAGCATAGAGAATATGGAGTTTAAAACATAATGTAGCCACAGTGCATAATCCATTAAACACACGTAAATTTAATATAGTAGGTACATAAAACAGTTACTACAGAGCAGAGATAGGTAGTAATTGAATTACGTAATGTGGTGATAAAGGTCGTTTTTTTGTTTTTGTTTTGTTTTACAAAAGGTCCATATAAATAATTAGTCTTTGGGCCTTGGATCCATTGTAAGTTTAACGGTTCATACAATTTCTATACATACAGCGAAGCTAATAAACATTTACCTTAGCCCTTTTATTTCTTGAATGAATGTTTTGCTGAAGCAAAGGAAAACTGTTGCACTTACAGGTATACAAGACCGAACTAAATCGATGAGGAGCCGTTTGAACTAAAGTAATGGGGAGCCGTTTGATTCATCCCGATTCAATCAGATTATTGAAGTTGTTAAGATGCGCCTCCGAAATTAAGCCTTACACCATTAGTACAAGAAACAGTTATTCTAAAACATTTTAAGTCTGGTTCACAATGTAGGCGACCTCCTTTAAAGTGTCTTTTAATGAAGAAATGGCTCGACAACAAGTTTATAAGAAGAGTTTATACATGCACACATCACCAAGGAAATAGTCATTTCACGAAATTTGAAGAAGTTTAGTGTTTACAGGGAGAAGAGTGGCAGTTTACATTTACTTACATTATTGGAAGGACAACTCTCGTAAGAATGGACCTATGTACTGTTATTACCTATCTAAGATTAAGTTATGACAAAAGCATTTGTTGGTGTAAATGAAGTCATTAAATACAAAATTAGGCTAATGAGATCCACCAATAGCGCCTCTAGCGGACAATACAGATACTAACGTGACAGTTTGTTTTTTGGTACATATGATGTTTTTCCCTCCAAACTCGCGACGCTACCGTTGGACAAGAGGGAAGAAAGCTATAATAAAC